GGATTTATCACTGCTGTCTATGGGAATTTATTTGTAGTGGTGCACCCCTAGTGGCTGCTTACGCAGCGCCCCCAGTCGGCGGGACTGTGTGAGCGCGGCGTGGGAGATGATAGCGGTGTGTCGTGGAGAATTAAGGACGTGTATGAGAATCGCTGCTCTGCGTCTGGAGTGAACGTGGACAAGCTGGACTTAAGTGCTGAACTGCTGGGTAGGAAAGATAGGGGATCGGAGCTGAGGACGCACTGGGGACCTGTTCGTTATTCTCCGGGGGAATCTGGTTTTGTATGCTGGCCGGAGATCCCTGAAGTTCTCTTGAGGCCTTTTCACACTACGAAAAATCTATGGGTTGGACCATAGAGCAAGGACACTACTCTATTATGGTTGGACACGGGTCCGACCCCTGTAAAAGTCACTGACCTTTTCACACTACACCATTTGAACACAGCACTGGCCCGTGTTGAGATGTCAGACACGTGTTGAAAGTCGTAGTGTGAACGCAAGTGGGTTATTGTTGTAAATATCGTGCGGGCGAACTCACATGTACACTGTAGTAATATAGGACGCCAACGAACAAACGAATTTACCTTATACCGACTTTGATTTTGCTCTTACAAAAAAACATCCAAAATGTCAGATAAAGGCTCTCAATCTGAAAAAAAGGCCGACATGGAAAGAGGAGGAGGTGAAGGCTTTGTTGGCAATTTGGGCTGACAGCTCCATCCAAAGCCAGCTTGATGGTACAACAAGAAATAGCAAAGGGGTTTCTCAAAATAAGCAATTTAACCCGTGTCGGACGCATGGGTGTATCGTAAGTGTGACAGGATCGCGCAATACACGGGTGCAAACATTACACGTATAGCAAAAATGCCGGCGATGTGTTCAGCAGTGTGAAAATGGAGTGGCATTGAACCGCGTTGAAATTTTAAGAAGTCAACACGGGTTGGAACCGTGTAGCTTTCGACACGGATCGGACGTTCATACTGTGTAGTTCGCGCTGTGGGCCAGGAGTTTTGGCTGTGTTTTACAGTCCGTACCCTCTGCGAAGGTGCCACCTTTAACGATTTCTTGCCAATTAGGAGGAGATCAGTAAACCTAAACTCCCCCTCTCTTCAACCGACTCATACTTGAGTGTTTCTTTTGCTATCAAATGCCTCTACAAATATATTAATATCCCGTCACACCTTCTTCCACAGCCCAACACAAGAAAGACAGACTCGTTGCTCTTCAAACATCAATACTGCCGTACTAACTCTGTGAAATTTTCCCTTTTTACTCTCTTTCCAAGATTGTTCAATTCACTTCCAGGTGACCTCCAAAATCTTTTTCTGGAAACCTACCCAAAAGACTTCCTTAATTCTTTAGGTGATCACCTCTTTCACCAAGACCCTATCTCCTGTGCCATTCAGACAATTTATTGCCATCATGAATTATATTCCCACTGAAAGTTGCCCAGTTTACGTTTTAGCCCGGATGGGAGTTGCAGGCATTCAGCTGCCTCCCCCCCTTTGGTTTTTGGTTTCGTTTTTATTTTGGTTTTTGTTTTTGTTTTGTCTTTGTTTTTGATGAGAGTTAGTTTGTTTTTCATGATAATGTTAATAAACAAGTACAGCTTTTTCTCACATCATTTCTTTATTTAAGCTATAAGTTATGTTACATTAGAATTTATGTTACTGCCATAAAAGACAAATCTATTTATGTATCGATCTATATTTATTATTGTTCTTATTGTTTCCCGTTTAACCAGTTGGAGAGCCCCTCGACAGAAACCATGTTTCTTTTGGGTAATCCAGCGGGAGCGGGTTAAATACTGTTTATTTGTCCTTTGTATGTCTTGTGTATTCTCTCTCTCTCTTGTAACTTTTGTTGTATTCCGTGAAATGTTGATCCCGAAAGTTGAAATAAATGAAATGAAATTTAAAACCTTGTGATTGCCATTTGAACCCGAGGAATAAAGGTATCGGTGTCCATAACTTCTCCGTCTGTCTGTCCAGTCAGTTCCTCA